CGCCCCCCCCCCCCCCCCAAATCCCCATCCCAAATATTCTGTGCCATGCAATCCATCCCACTGCAAAGCACATCCCCAGCACCCCGTGCCATGCACTACTCCCTTCCCAGCAGCCTCTCTGCTCACCGTTTACAGTGGTGCCCCCATGAAATTTCTTGCCATTAACCCGTTGTCTCACCGCCACCTTCCTCCATTGAAACAGCTCCTTCACCCCCTTCCATGAACATATCTGTATATAAAGGAAAGTATTTTCTATAAAAGCCAAACCTCACTCGTGATCCAACTTGATCCCCTTCCCATCCCTTCCCCACCCCCAGACAGAGAAAGTGTGCAATATTGCATGAGGATTATTTTTCAACAACAAAAAGAAAAAAAAAAAAGAAATTCTATATATTGTATTTGTTTATTTAGCAGCTTAGCTGCCAAACTTTAAAAGCACAGGGAGGAAAATGTCAAAAGGGCAAAAAAAGGAGAAAAAAAAGCCAATGTTAAAAATAAAGTGAAAATAAAATCAAAAGTGACTTTTGCCTCTTTTCTCTGTGTGCATGTACAACACAGTGCAGTTCAGAGAGCAAGTGTCCCATGGGGGACCAGCAGGAGATGTGTAAAAACCCTGAGAGAAATCTGAGGATGTGTTAAGGCAGGAGGGAAGTGCTGGTCGGAGCAGTTTTGTTGTGTTGTGTACCCTTGCATCAGGAAGTGTAACTGCTGCTGCCCTTTGGGAAGGGCTGGAATGTGACTTGTGTCCACTGACTTTTTTTGTTACGGTCAGAAGGGCGCTGTGAGCAGCAGGGCTGGAGCAGCGCAGGTATAAATAGAAAATCACTCATAATAATGATTCCCCTTTCAAAAGGGGTGTGGGTTAGGGTAGAGGGTGGAGTGGGGTGGGGCTGGGAGTCAGAACTCCTGCGTTCTGCCAGCTATGGGAGCAAGGTAAGCTGAGGGGGGCTGGAGGCAGGATTTGTAGGCTCTGGCCCTAGCTTCAGAGGGGGTGGGAGTTGGGTGTGGTGGGTTAGAGCAGGGGTGATGGAGCCCAGACCTCCTGGGTTCTGCCGCCAGCTTTGGGAGAGGAGTGGGGTAAGAAGGGTTAGAGTGGGGAGGAGTGGGGAATATTGGAGCCAGGACTCCTGGGTTCTCTTCCTGCTTTGCTGTGGATCAAGTCTATACCTGTATGCAACACCAGGGCCTTATTCTCTGCCTAGTTCCACCCAGATCCAGCTTGGCCACTAGTGACTTAAGCATCTTCCTCAGGATGGCATTGGCACTGCCTGCAGCCCCCATGCCAGGGCCTTGTCCCACTACCCTATTGCCTGCTTTCCCAAAGCTGTCTTTGCTACAGGGCTCTCATCTCTGGTTTTACCTTGCCCTGCCAGGCCCAGCAGCCTTGTAGCACTGTCTGCTTCCTTCCCCCTGGCACGGGGTGCGAAGTGGCCTTAGCTCCCTGTTCAGTCCTCTTTTCCATGGACTGTGCTCCCCATTGTTTCCAAGGGGTCTGCAGCCCACAAAAGGCAGTACTGGGCCTTTCTGTACCCAATGTTCCCAGGATGCAGCCCCCACCTCATCTTTGCTCCTGAGGAGATGGATCAGAAAGGTGGGGATAGGAGCAGAAATAACTGGGTGCAGGGGCAGGGGTTGGGTCTGCAGCAGGAAGAATCTCCTGGTCCAAGAGTTTCTTCCCCCAGCAATGAGCCCAGGGATGGGGGAGCTGGGGAGGAGATGAGGCCCAAGAGGTGTGTGTCAGCCCTATATCCCTCAAGTCTCAGCAGAGGACCCTCTCCCCTCCCACGATGGGGGAAGCTTGCCTTTCAGAAGCTGTTTGCACTGCAAAAACAGCAATGTCCCCAAAGGCAGACCTGCTTTCCTCTAACCACCACTCAGGGAGAGAACGCAGATGTCCTGGCTCCTAGCTCCACGGCTCTAACCCACCAGACCTCACTTCCTTCCCAGAGCTGAGAGAGTACCCAGGAGTCCTGGCCTCCCAGTTTTGTCATCCCCCACGCTCTAACCACTAGGTGTCTCAAGTTTATCTGGGGAGGGATGTTGCTCTGGGTCCCTCTGGGCTCAGCTGAAGGCTCCAGTTCCTTTCCTCCCTCACTCCTGTGGCACTACTGAGTCCCGGGGGGGCATTTCTGAGTGCTGCTCATGCCCCCAGAGCAAACACAGGTTCTTCTCCAGGTATGGCACTGGGTGACTCAGATCTGGCCCTGCCTCACCCAGAGGGAGCTGTGCTACTGCCCTGGCCAGCTCAGGGGCCACCTGTGCACCAGAGAGGGGGGTTGCTTTCACCCCTGGGCACTGGGCTCTTGTATGTTAGAGCCAGAGACTGGATAGGCAGGAACAGAACCCAGTCCCTGCCACGGAAGACCTTACTCCCTTTTTGTCATTGGGGTGGCATCCAGACATCCTGGCTCCCTGCCATCCTTGCTTTATCCTACCAGACTCCTAGGACTAGGATAGAACCCAAGTGTCCTGGTTCCCAGCCCCCTGCTCCAACCCACCAGCCCCCGCTCCCCTCTCAGAGCTGGCCTGGAACCCAGGTGTCCTGGCACCTGCTGCCACCCCCCAGCTCTAACTCCCCAGAGCCCAGTTTCCTTCCAGACCTGAGGGTGGAACCCAGGTGTCCAAGGTGGGGTATGGGGAAGGGGACAGGCTGTTTTGGTTATGTGGGAGAGGAGAACCTGCCCTACTCCCTCAGTGCTGGCTGAACCCCATTGTCCAGAGCAGGGGAATCCCCTGAGTGTGTGGGGTTCTCTCTGGCCTAGGTGGGGAACGTGAGGGGGCAGAGCCCAGCCTGGGAGATCTAGTGCTGCAAGCGCATTGCAAAGGGTTAAAGGGGCCAGGGTGTGCCCAATCCTGAGCCAAGCTGGTCAGACCAGGATCCCAGCCTGTCCCAGTCCCACGTGCCTGCCTGTTTGCATGCCAGGGATGGGAGCGGCACTGGGCCACAGCACCCTCCACCCCACCCATGGGAACAAGGAACAAAAGGTCAGGTATGGGACCCAGGAGTCCTGTTTCCCACCTGCCCCTCCCACAGCTGCAGCAACCCCAGCGTCTTGGCTCTCAAACCCCTGCTATAATGCAGTAGACCCCGCTACTTCTAGAATGGGTAGAACTGAGTAGTCCTGCCTCTTAGGCCTCCTTCCTGTCTAACCATTAGGAGCTACTTTAGTTTACTGAGGGCTGGACCTGGTTTTGTCTGGGCTTTGATGGATGCTCTGGTTCCCTTCCTTGTTCCCACCTGAGTCCAGCTTCTTGTGAGTTTGATCCAGGCCAAGTCAGACCTGGCCCTAGTTGAATATGCTGGGTCACTCTCTTCCTGCAGCACTGGGAAGAGTGAAGGCACCCTGATGTGTGGTTTGTGGGGTGCTGTGCTTCAGGGAGAGGTGGAGGAGCACAGCATGATGCTGCCTGCAAAGCCCTTCAGCACCGGAACTGCAAACCCTGTCTCCAGGCTGTGCCCCCTGCTCCCCATGTCTCCTAACAGCCCCCCACTGCCAAATCCCTGCTTGTTTTCCCCATCAGTATCAAACACTGTTCCTGTCTGCAGTCTTTCCCCTGCTGCGCCCCACCCCAGAGCCAGCTGCCTCCCAGTGCCAGGTGAAGGGGTCCCTGTATAAACCACCCCACAGTGCCGCACCCCAGAGGTGGCTGCATTTTTAGTGCTGGGCAGGACCAGCAGTGATTACGCCTGTAGGGCCCTTGCCTTGCTGGGGGTGGGGGTGAGGGTGTGGTACGGCAGCTCTGCTTTTGTACTGTGCAACTCCATGACGTGACAGGGCCAGGAATGGCCTGTGAAACCCGCCTCTGCTGGGTGTGCCTGGTACAGCCAAGGGGATGGAGACTTATGGGCTCTTCCCCCCAACCCTCCTCCCCTTCCCAAAGCTGGGAGAGAACCCGGGTGTCCTGGCTTCCTGCTGTAACCCACCAGTCAGGCTCTGCCCCTCCAGAGCATTAGGGTCAGGTTTATATTTAACCAGTACCCTCTTTCCATCTGGGCTCAGGAGTTGGGAGTGGGGAAGGCTGAGCCCAGAGCTACCTGTGCAGGTATGCATGGGGGTGTGGCCTGGCCTGCCACTCACCGGCCAGGTAGCAGGGCACACCTGTTACCAGGTGACACTGGGGCTGGGGCCACGTCTCCCCACCCAGACATGTTGTGGGTCCAAGCTGCATAGGGTTGGTGTGAGGATAGGTAAGTGTGGGGGGTCTTACCTTTGTATAGCTTGGGAACAGAGAGGGGGGGGTCCATCCTTGCCCCACCCCCCCTACCACTGGGGGACCCTGGAGGCCAGGGATCATGTTCCTTAGGGGGTCCAGCCTCATGCAGCATGGAGGAAGAGGATGGGGGGGGCTGAGGGGTCCTAACTCAGCAGTTGGGACTGAGGGATTTGGCTGGCAGCTCTCACTCTGGACAAACAGAGCAGCATGGCTAAGAAACAGAGAGCATGTAACATGAGGAACCACCCAGCCCCGGACTCCTGGGTTCTGCCCTGATTTTGGGGGAAAGAAGAGTCGGTGGATTAGAGCAGGGGCAGTGGGAGCCTGGATGCCTGGGTTCTGTCCCAGCTCAGGGTAGCAGCTGGTCTTCTCCCCATCCCTGCGCCCAGGTTCTTGCATGCCAGTTCCAGACTCTCCTGCACCATGAGCCTTCTGGACAAGTGAGTCCCACCCCCTGCCTTCATTTTGGGGAGAGTATGGGAAGAGGAGTGGGGCGGGGTGGGGTTAGAGCTGGAGGTCAGGACTGCTGGATTGTTTCCCTGCTCTAGGAGGGGAGTAGAGTCTAGAGCAGCTGGGGCTGGGAGCCAGGACTCCTAGGTTCTGTCTTGGCTCTGGATGGAAAACCAGTCAAAGCGGGGGCAGGTAGGCAGCTGGGACTCCTGGGTTCTATCCCAGTTCCAGGAGGAGAATTGGGTCTGGTAGTTTAGACTGGAAGGGGGCTGGAAAGAGCCAGGACACCTGGGTGCTATCCCAGCTCTGGACAGGGAATCCTCCCCCAACCCACCCTTAAATCTAGCCTGCTACAGAGCCCTGCCTCTGCTCTTTTAACCCTTTCCTCTGTGATCCCTTCTGTAGTGGACTTGAGCTGCCCAAGCCGAGTGCAAGGGACATCTACGGTGAGTCCCTGAGCCGATGCCACCTCTCTCTGGGGAAAATGGGGGGCAGGTCTCTTGGGGGCAAGGGAGGTATTGAAGGCAGGGATCTGGCACTGGGAAGAAAGTTAAGGGGAGCGAGTAGGATTGGGAGGGGGGACATACAGGGCTGGAGTTTCACTCCAGGGCTGCGATGCCCCAGCTTGGGGTCCCAGCTGCCTGGAGCCCCTAATTCCCCCCATGCCTGCAGTCAGTTACCCGCAGAGAGCACTAACCTGGGGCAGCTGGACCACTTGGGTCGGTGCAGGATAGGAACTGGTCCCTGAACTGCAGGGACTGTACACGAGGGGTCCCCAGCATCCTGGGCATCTGGGGGGGCCGGTACTGGGGTGCTGTGTGTTATAGGGTCTCTGTGGGGCTGGGGCATTGTTGTAGGGGCCTCACACACTGCTGCACTCTGCTGTCATAAGGGGTCTTAGCAGGGCATTGAATCTGGGCATGGCCAGGCATTATCATAGGGTCACCCAGTACATTATTGTAGGGTTTCTGCACTGTTGCTTTGCTGCTGCAGGTGGGGTCTGAGGTCTCTCTTAGGCTGGAGGGGGCATTGCTGTGGGCCTGCTTGTGGTGTCCTTGCAGGGCTGAGAAAGTGGTGGCAAGGTCACTGTGGGGTTGGGCAGTGGGTGAGGGGTCTCAGAGGGGTTTGGGGGTGGTTATGAGGTCACCAGGAGGTAGTAGCAGGGTCTCTGCAGGGCTGTGGGGTTGGGGATTGGCTGTGAGGTCTCACCACCTGAAATATAGGAGACAACATCCTTAGACTTCCTCCACCTCTCCTGGGGGAGGGTCCTCTGCCCCACATGCCCTCCCCGCTTGGCCACCTCCCTCAGAAGAGCCCCACAGGCCTTTGCTTCCTTCCCCCATCCCTGCCCAGAAAGGGAAAATGAAAGAAACACAAAGCTGAGGCAGGTGTGGACTGGAGGAGGCCAAGCAGCGGTGTCCAGCTAATCCCCAGTCACCAAACTGGTTCCTTCAGGGGATGCTGGGAAATCCCTTGAAACAGCCAGTGCCTTGCCCTGCTGCAGGACTGGACTTGGTGTCCTCTTGCAGGGGACAGGCCCCTGCCCCCTTCACCCCTGTCTCATTCCCCCACCCTCTCTCTCCCCACAGAACAGAGGAAGAAGTACTCCAACATGATCATGGCTGATGTGTCCCAGTATACTGTCAATGTGAGAGGCTCCTCTCCTCCCGCCCTGGGCTTTGGGG